TGATGAAAAGAGAAGCAAGCCAAATCATGCGCTCCGTCAACAATTTTTGCGAATTTGCAGTAGTCCATGGCGTTAACTCGCACCCGATTATACCTTTAGATATGAGTTAAATCTGCTAAAATTTTAAAGTTGCCTATCGGGTAATCTAGAAATAGCGCAAAGATTTTGATGAGAACTCGAAAAGTGATACCTTCTGACAATTTTTTCGAATAATCTGTAGATTTTGCGGGCTCGTTTTTGTACAAACAGCACAAGTCACAAAAAAATCCACCTAAAATGCTACTTTTCTTGCAATACTATTTATAGACAAATGTGATACAAAACCTCCACCTGTTGCAAAACAAGATTTAAACAGACTGTTTCTTCCCAGCTGTAGGCTTGATCACAAGGACTTGGTTGATTTCTACTGGAACGCCGAAATACTTGCACCAAACTTGGACTCTAAAAACCAAATTAATTTCCTGTGGACACCAATTTGATTTCAGGCAGTGCACCATGGACAAAACGTAAGAACGTTTTAAGAGTCTAAAAGGTCTTCAAAAGTAATGCGCTGCTTACCGAGTGGCCTAAATAAAATGAAGAATTCATCTTAGACATATACACATACCAAATCATATCGTCTGAGTGGGCTGAAGAAAAAATTATGAAAACGGATAAGACCTATGCAATAACTCATTTGCCTTGGCATGTCGTTCCTTTACAGTAAGCGGTACCCAGAATAAATTCCATAAAAAGCTTAGCCCATTCTATCTCATTATTATTGGTGGATGAGTAGCTGCCATCTGGAATAACAGAATTGCAAGGTGATGTGAAAGCGAATTGAAATTTGATAGTACTTACCTTGAGAAGATCTAGCACGACGCAGATCGATAATCCTGCTTATTAATTCCCCAACACATTTACAGGACGTCGCAGAAACTGAGTTGAGTCCATTTGTCATAGTGCCTGAATCACCTACAGCAAAAGGAAGTACAAGATCTGTTATAAGGCGAACTAAGTTAAAGTGGGCAGTCCAGCTTATGTATGAGCGACATAGTAATTGCATTGTATACTTGATTCATCATGAAATTAAAAAAAAAAAACATACCACCGCTTGGTCCTTCTTCCAAAACGCAGTTTTTGGGTACCACAAGATCCCGTATTATCGAATTTGGAAACATACTTATCCCAACGTAAAATTAGCTGTAGGACCACATGCTCAAACAAGAGAAAGTGACAACGTAGCAATAATTTGTGGGAAAATGTTTTTAAATTGATACCTACCCGTACACGATATCTTTATCGAATAAGCACAAATTACTGTTCCGGATTTTCTGCGACAGAAAGCTTGCTTTTTACTGAATTTATACTTTACACAAAAGTATCGACTGTATAAAAGGAGTTAGTGAGAGCGGGAAGGTATCCTGACTCATTCTCAACTGACAGAAGGGGAGATCATTAAGCAAAATCAAGCAGATTAAGTGCGAGAATACTGGTTGGAAAAGGACGTACAGTTTCCACTGAGATCGGAAGTAAAGAAATAGAGTTCAATTCGCTTGATGCAGATAAATATATGATCAACGTGAAGAAAAAATTTAAAAAACTGACTATAGTGCTACATAAATTTCTCGCTGCTTTCAGGTTTCCTATTCTTGCCACGAGTAAATTTTAAATTCGAGTAATTCTTCTGCCACGTTC